AAGAACTTCTTTGGTTTATAAGAGGCAGTACTGACGGCAAAGAGTTATCCAAAGTCGGTGTCAATATATGGGACGCAAACGGGAGCCGATCTTTCCTCGACTCTCTTGGATTCACTGACAGAGAAGAGGGAGATTTGGGACCCGTTTATGGCTTTCAATGGCGACACTTTGGCGCTAAATATGACACCAAAGACGCTGATTATACCAATAAAGGCGTGGATCAGCTAAAAGAAGTGATTAATACTATTAAGACAAATCCCGATGACAGGCGAATGATTATCTGCTCGTGGAATCCGATCGGTTCGTGTCTTCAGATGTATTAATCAGTGATAATTATAATTAACAGTGTGTTGTCTTTGCTGTGGACAGACATACCATCGATGGCATTACCTCCGTGTCATTGTTTGGTTCAGTTCTATGTGTCCAATGGGGAGCTCTCGTGTCAACTCTACCAACGGTCTGGTGATGTGGTCAGTGATGAGTCAATCAGTTATTTTTAGTGTTATGTTTCAGATAATGTCTTATTGTAAAAGTTGTGACACTATTTCGCTGTGCATTCGTAGCGATAATTAATTGTTTTACTTCTTCAGGGACTGGGAGTTCCGTTCAATATCGCCAGTTATTCCCTACTGACACATATGATGGCACACATCACTGGTCTCCAGTGCGGCGATTTCATCCACACCATCGGTGACGCACACATCTATACGGATCACTTGGAACCGCTCAAAGAACAAGTATATATATATATCTTGTGTCTCATTTGATTTATTTTCCATAGACTTGTCATTAAATTGAGTTATGTTTGACTTATGTTTGCGTTCAGTTGAGCCGAACTCCGCGTCCGTTCCCTAAATTGGTTATCAAACGCAAAGTCGATAATATCGACGACTTTACGAGCGATGACTTCGAGCTAATCGATTACAAACCGTATCCGAAGATATCAATGAAAATGTCTGTTTAGACGCAAACACTGCGAAATTAATTGATTTTTATGTCACTCCAGTATTTGGCTCTCAGTTTTCTCATATCGTTTAATTATCGTTGAATTTAGAGTCAAATATTTTTATGGTATAACTATTTTAATTAAAATTGTTGTAAATCTTTTTCATGTCTTTCGTATTACACATACAATCTTTAGGTCTGTATTATTAAAACGCTATTCAATAATACACAGCATTTCTGTGTCTCTTTATTTTCTGGCCTTTATTTCTATGATTTTAATTGGATTTTAAAAATTTATGAACAAATCTCTAATGCATTTATACTTAATATGATATACAATACGTGTAATTGTATTGCAAACGAAAGTGTATTCGAGTTAAGATTCTTATAAGTTATAACTTATTAATATTATGCAGTTTTTCGCAGACATTTTAGTGTGAAATATGTTTATAATTAGATTAATATGTGTAAAGTCAATGAAGTGCTGACCTAACTCTTCGATCAATGTCTCAAATATTGTAATGAATTCGAGGACTCAATGGATTCAATGGTGTTATTCAACACTAAAAACAAGGCATCGATTCTCTCACTAATGTTTGATGTCTTCATTAAAAATCTAACGCAGAGTTTGTGCCATAAAATAGTAGATAATTAACTCGAAATGCACTTAAAGTTATTATTAAAAAAGTTGTTTTTGGTTTAGTTTTAAAGAATTTTGTTTCATTCTTTCAGTTCTGTTTCCGAAATAAGAAAAAAATTCCTAATTTCTTCTT